GTTAATATTATATATTGTGAAGTACCCTTTAGCCCGTTTAAAAGAATATATGAACACATTTGGAACCTCTCTCTCCCTCTCCCTCTGCCTTTTTTTGTTAATATTTATTTATTATATTTTGCGAATCACTGACTCTCTTTCTCTCTATTTTTTTTTCTCTCTCGCTTTCTGCCTCTCACCCTATCTATCTCTCTATTTCTATTTCGCTCGTTCTCTCTCACTCTGTGTTTTTATTTCTTTATTATATATCATTAGATACTGTTATCTTTATATTTGAATAGTTACTCAGGTTCTTAGTAGAAAAATCCTTTCACTAATAAAAAATTTGGTTTCAATTGGTAATGATTTCCATCTTACCCACTTCCTTTCGATATCATTTTGTAATATTTTCTCTTAATATGTTGGTTTCTTCACAAAGAACACACTGTATACAATAGTACTGGATATAATTAAAAATCAGCTTGTGACGTTCCTGGCCACATTCTCAATTCAAAATACAATGTCCTGGTAACAGTCAAAAAACAAAAACAAAATTATTTGGAACAATAAAAGTCAGAACTGTTGACAATTTAACACCACCTGCAAAACAATAATGGAAGCAAATTGGAAAACAATTGGAAAATCTTAACTCAACCAAACTCAGAGCAAATTGGCAATCATTAAAAGCAGATACTATACCAAAGCCAAAGGAAATGAGCTACTAAAGCGGCGTTGAACGCCCAGTCCAAAGGACTTCATTGTGCAACACGCACGCAATGTGCAATTTAATATAAAACTAGAACAGCAACAACAACAACAACCAACAACAAAGACAACTAAATTAATAATGAGAAGGTAAAGTAACAAAGTAACAATCGCTCCATGCCATGGACAATTGACAAACGGCATGCAACGTACGAGCATTAGTTATGGTCAGCAGGAGCAAACCCTACTTATCTTTGTGTGAGCAAATGTAATTCAAATAACCAATAATGAGTGACCAACACGTTACCACGTTAATGGACAACAGAGGACCACCAGCCACAAAATGGGCGCAACTATACTTACCTGGATCAAAATCCTTGGGTGTTCAATGCAAGCTAATAAGCACAAAGCTTTTATAGTAACCGCTTAAGGTGACTTCCGAAAAAGACAAATTCACCAGTTATGCCGCTGACCAACGTAACGTGACCACTGCTACTGAAACACAGATTAGAGTAATGAATATCAAAGCATTTGAATTTGCATACATGCCCATATGTACTGCGCTCCGCTCAGAAACGCTTTGTTCTTCCATAAGCCATAATTGTCACCCTTTGAGTGCGCTCCTCTTATAATTTAATTTCTTCTTTATTCCATATGAAGTTGTTACCTTTCATGACAACGGCGTCGAATCACGTTTGCTACATAAAATTTCAATTTGATTTCGGTTTTTTTTAATCCAACAGCGTTTGTGTTACGCCTCTCGTTCCATGCCTTGTATGGCTGCTCTTTAAAATTGTGTCTGGAACAATGAGAAAGCCTTGAACTTGGGTGCAAATCATGCGCGCATAGCTCAGCTTCCTGCGTCTCATAATTTGCATATGAAAAAGAACGCACTTCAATAGATTTTTGTTTGCCTTCCATTGACTTCTTCTTCACAAATTAAAATAGAAGCGAACATTTTTGAAAGAACCACGATTTAATGTCTTCATAGTCATGATACTTGGTCCACCAAGCAATAGTCTTCAGGTCGCGTGAAAAACCTAAATTAAATGTTTTGCGGTGCGCCGCGTTTTTTTTTTATTCTTTTTTTAAGAAGCAAATCTAGAAGAATGGCAATAAAATAGAAAGGGAAACATTAAAGAGGAATTATTTTCAATGTTTCTTTTAAAAGAATCTCAACAAGTAACCGAAATAAAAAAAGGTCGGGGCTTTTTGGTGTTGCTTCTATTCTGCAAACTTTAGCGTACACTATGTAGACACCAGTGGTGTTACAAGAAACTCAAGGGGGTCTGCATACTCTAATGCTTCTTTTTAGAAAATCTCAACTTAAAACCGAAATGAAAAAAGTTCATTTGATTTTCAAAACTTCGATTATGAAGACACCAGTACCGTGGTGAGAAAGGCAACGAGATATATCATGTCCCATTGGAGCTTTCCGGTATTGCTTTAATTTTAAAAAGAAATGTAGACATATCTATCCTGTCCTAACATCATTTTCTGATGTTGGTTTCATTTTTAAAACTAAAGCGACGGTTATGAAGGATTATGTAGGTGCCATAGCAAGAAAGACAAAAATATCTATCATGCCCAGCAAGGTAATCTGGTTTGCTTCCATTTTCAAAAATTTAGCGTAAAGTATGCAGGTCACCAGTTGCGTGACGAGAAAACAATGGGGTCTACATACTCCAATGCTTCTTCTTACAAAATCTCAACATAAAACTGAAATAAAAAATATTCAGGGCTTACCGATATAATTTTGATTTTCAAAATTTCGATTATGTGAACATCAGTGCCGTATCGAGAAAAGCAAAGAGATCATTATATCGCGGCAGAACTCTGTGTTGCTTCCATTTTCTAAAAATAAGCTATGTTGACGCTATGTTAAGCTATGTTAATGTCGTACTTATCATATCCCAGTATACCATTCTAATGTTACTTTCATTTTAAAAGCTTAAATGTGGGTTATCTAGACACTAGTGGCAAAAAGCAAAAACCTAGGAAGTCCACATACTCCAACAGGGCTTTCTGGTGTTGCTTTCATTAGCAGAATTTAAGTTTGACACTTCTGTTGATACTAAAATAGGAAAAAGGTGAGGTTGATTCATACCCCAAGTACCTCCTGCGCGAAATTGACCACTAAAGAGAATAGAACATAAAATTTATATATTCTTTTGGATGTCGACAAAAAAACTGTGCTTCACTATACTCTAATCATACTCATACTAATAAACTGAATTTAAATCGAAACTAAAACCGATCATAAAAAAGAAACAGAGTCCTGTAAACCCCTTTTTCTATGTTTTGAAACAACTGGCATTTACTAACAAACAACCCGAAAATAATACCAAACAGAAAAGATATTGAATTCATAAAGTTTTATATATAAAGAGAAGAAATTTAATTCACAAGTCACCTTTTCCTTAACACATTCCAAGATGAACCAATGTTGCCTCAAACACTATTTTGCATCTTCACCTATGCAAAGTCTCTCCTCTCCAGTTTTATGTTCTTACTGCTCTTGGTTTTGTATTCCCATTACTCTTAAATCGCTCTATATTACATGGAACTGTCCTAGTTTTTCTTTCTATAATGAACATTCCAACAAAAATTTGGATCACTCCGATACCAACAGGTATTCTTGCTAGATGCTCCGAACACTTTATGTCCAAAGACAGAAAACTTTTCCTATATCTTATTAAATTTTGGAAAGATAGAAATAAAGATATGAGTTAGATTCATGTACATATATATACATATATATCTATATCTTTACATATCCAATTTATTAAAATTGCAATCAGTTTTACTTATGAATTTAAGGACTGAACACTTAACAGTAATAAGACGTCACTCAGGTGCTCATATTTTACATTTTATTGTAATTTACTGTCTCACGCGACCTCTACAAAAAGAAAATTTAAATACTTTAAAATATTCTTAATAGTATTTAAAATATCTAACAAATATATATCTTAATATATATCTAACAAAAAAACCACTCCACATTTAAGTCGCAACTGATACTTGCGGCACCTAGCGTAGGATAGATTTATTTAATGAATAGTTTAGACAAGGTAAATGTGGTACGGTAAACCGTCTGACCGTAATAATACGGTCTTTTGTGTATATGGTAATGGTACGATCTTCTTGTCAATACGATAACCAAACCAGGAATATAAACCGCTTAGATTAATCCGTTCAATATATAACCTATAGAATGGAATAAAATAGATTTATACTCAATGTTTTAACTCAAAGATTAGACTCATCCTATAGATTAGACTGAGCTCATAGATTAGACTCAGATAATAGATTAAACTCAGTTCATAGATAAGACTGAGAGTATGATACTAGGAAGATATTAAAACTAAGTTGCACACAAGAGTTTGGCAAGATAACAGTTTCTGGTAAAATATGCAAAACCAAGATAGATGGATAGGCAAGATTGGCAAGATTGAACTACTCGTAACCAATCCGATCGATAACTAGATAAAAACTCTTGTCGTTTATACGGCACTCAAACCTATTTTTCCCGTTGTGATTGAATTTCCTTAGCTTCTTTGATGAAAAAGCATTTCTGTCCATCCAGTTGTGGAACATTAAACCCATATTACCAATTTAAATCTGAATTTCTCATAGGGATAAGCAATTTCTAACCAATTGTTGCTATCATTACTCGTGTATCAGGGTATTGCGATCCTTTTGAATTTTATATACCACAACGTCTGTCTAGCAGTGGCGTATAGAAGAGACTAAATCCGTCTAAAATATTTTTCACTTTTACATATTTATATAATATCCAATATATATGTTACAAAACTATTTATTAAATACTTTACAAAATTAAAATACCACAAAACCTTAACATTATATAAATTTTTTAAGGAGCTTAATATATTGCAACTTCAAAATGTTGCTTCTTGTAAATTAACGCAAAAAGAAAATTTGATAAGCTTAAATATAAAACTAATTGGTATAAATAAAAATTATATAAATTTTCTATGGAACTTAAAATATTTGTTGCTTCTTATAAATTAACACAAGAAGAAAATTTGATAAGCTTAAATTTAAAACTAATTAGTAAAAATATAAAAATAAGTAATATTTTAATACAATAATAATATAATATAATAATGTAATATAAAAATATAATATAGGAATATAATATAATAATATTTTATAGTATTATAACATAATAATGTAACATAATAATATAATATAATATTACAATACAATAATATAATATTACAATACAATAATATAATATATCATAATACAATAATAAAACATAATATAATAATAAAATATAATAATAACTAATATGAGAAATATTACTATTTTTCAGATAAATAATAAAATAAAACAAAAATCTATTATTGCGAGTCACTGGAACTCGAACTGGAGCTATCAGTTGACATCACCTCAACATCATCTTGTGATGCCTCTTTATGAGAACGTGTTTCCAATGCAACTGAGTTACCGCTGGAACCCATTGACATATGCAACTCACCCAAATTATTCCAATTAAATTGATTTTGAAATGCATTGGGCACTTCTGCCATATTGCGATTTGGATCGGATATATTATTCTGATGTGCTACAATGCCACCATTTATATTTAAATCTGATTTTCCCAAAAAACCATTACGCATCTCAAGATCCGTTGGATAAGGTCGACGCATATCACCAATACACCAAGTAAGTGGCGCACTAACTGCATTGGCCGAACTTATGCGATGAGCGTACTTTATCAATTCCTCGGAAGATACAGGCCTTTTGTTTGCTTGATTTATGCTGGCTAATTTTTGTCGAGCTTGAAATAATGCCGTCGATAGAATAAATTCAGCTTCTTTAAGTGATTTTTGTAACTTTTGTATCTCACGATCCTGCAAAAATGATAGTAATAGAATAAAAGAATAATTTCACTGGACGGAACTTACATGCACTTCTACTTCTGCTCTTATTTGATCCATTTCTTGCTCTATTTTGGCTTGCTCATCTGCTAATTCCAACATCTTGCGAAACTCTTCATCCTTGGACACCAATAAATCCACGAGTGCAGCATGTTCCGTTGTTGAAATCTTTTGATGTTTGGGTGCAATTGTATTTTCGATGAGTTCTCTGGAAAATTTTTATTTTTTTTACTATGAATAGCTCTAATGCAATATTAATAACACCTACTTTGCTACTAATTCTATATCATCAATGAGCAAAAGCAAACGTTCCTTCGTGCTTAAGTGAAAAGTCATTCTTTGACCATTTAATTTCCAACTTCTTACTTTTGTATGCCGACACAGCTTCAGACTTCACGGCACGTCAAACATAACAAAACCTCAGAGGCAGTGTTGTAAGTGAATAAAATAATGTTTGCAACGTAAACAAAACATATTGTGGGAGAGAAAATGTGTACGACAGCATAGTTTTTTCTGCAAATAATAATAACAAATATTGTTATTAATTAAACAATATTATGCATTAAATATAGTATTTTTATATTGGTAACATTACTGTATAAACAATTAATATATCTATTATATTGTTAGATGAAGAATAACAAAGTAAACAGTTTTATTTTGGTACATGATCTCATGTTGGCAGTTTTGCTTATTAATATTACAATCACACTGTCCCATTTTAGGCACTTGCTCATTGAGTGCGCTCACATTGTAATGAGCTCATATATGCAGTTAAAGAGACTTTTATGAACTTTTAAGATAATTCACCTAATAAAGACGCATCCACAACAAAGCGAAAGCTTGCGAATGAAAACAGTGTGAATGCGCAATTAAATCTACTTATATTAATGAGTAGTTTTTAGTTTTACATATTGTAAAGCAGTACACTAATTTTATTGGCACTGCGCATTATATCTTGTAATATTGTTTTATGTTATCTATTGCTATAATCACTGCATAAGGAAATGTAAATAATGAATCTAAAATCTCTTACAATTAAAGAGATTTTAAATTAAATTTCTCCTATGGACGCGTCCGAGTTAAGCTAAGTTGATGCTAAACCAAATGGGAGATTTTTTGGGATTTTTTGCACTGCACACATTTTGCCATTTATCTACACGTATCGACACATCACTACATCATCGGCACAACTTAGAATTTCCCTCATTTAGAACGCAACTTCGCCTAACTCGCACACGACCTAAAAATAATTATTAATATGAATTCTTAAACAACACTGGTTTTAATGAAAATTAATTAAATACAACCATGCAATGTTTATTATTTTTGCTACACTGTTAAAAATTTTTACTACAAAGTGTGCGAATAATTGATAAAAATGTTGGCAATGTTTGGAGTGCATTAGTTTTTTTTTTGGAAAACTGTTAATATAAACATTTTAAATTACTTTCAAAATTAATGTTTACGAAAAGAACAAAAATTTGTTAAATAAATTAACTCTTGGCCAACAAAAAATAACAAACAGCAGCGCTGACAAAATATGGCACGTCAGCGTAGAAATGCACCGGTAACAAATGGCAATAACACACAAAAGTCTAATAAAAGTAATATTGGCACGAATTCTACAAATTCGAGCGTAACGCCTACGAGTGCCTCGACTCAAAATAAAACCAAAACACCTGCAAAGCAACACAATGATGCGCATAGCTCCAGTACCAGTGGATCCAGTTCCACGTCATCGGCAGCTACTGCGAAAGGCAAAGCTACACAGCAGAAGAAAAAGTCTGGCTTTAATTTTTGCTCGCCCAACATTATACTAGATAAATGGAAAACATTAATCGGCTGTGTTTGTTTAGCTGTGGCCTCATATTTCGGCTATTTAGGTTACTTAGAAACTCGTGTAAATACACCTTTTGATAATCAAAAAATGGTGCAACGCACTGGACTAGATGATCCAGACCGTTATTGGGGCACTTATCGTCCGCTTAATTATTTCGGCTTAAAGACCAGAGATCCGCACTCACTGGTGATGGGCTTAATGTGGTATCAGCCCACTAATCTTGGGCACGGTGGTAAAGGCATTAGGCATTGGTGCGAAATAAGTGATAATCTGGATAAGTATGGTTGGACGCATCACGATGGGCGCTCATTTGGTGTACAAGAAATACATGATTTGCCATATGAAATAAAAACTTCGTTCGTCAAGTTTCCTAGTGGCAAACAATTTGGTGGTGATTGGACAGCACGTATATCGGTGCGTAATACAACCAAAGCGTGGGACAAAACTATATCACTGATATGGTATGTGGCACTAGACGAGCGAACTAATGGGCATATAAAATATGTTTCAGATGATAAGAATCCAGAGTCAGGGGTTTATGGCGAAACATTAGGATTAGGTGAATTCCAGGTAAATATATGATTTCTTATAAGTGATAACTTAAAGTCCTCAATTAATTAATTTTTACAGGTACGCTTTCACCCAATTAAAGGCCGCATCTTACACAAATCGTATCTCAGTACAATTGCGCCATCCTTAAGTAAACTTAAAGATACAGTTTTTCAATATTTCCGCGCATTTCCGGATAAACACGGCAATCGCTACATTGGACTGCCCGGTGAAATGATATCACATAACGGTGCTGCCGCTGCAGATCCAAATTTCATTGCCATACAAATCACCGCTGAAATGGATTTCACTATGGATATAACATATCAATCCACTTCTGGCTTCTCCATTGGAGAACTTATACCAAAGCCACCCATAGCACGCGAATTCACGAACAATCTGCAGGCAAAGATCGCTGAGTTTGATAATCGTTTCGAAAATACTTTTCAGTTGCGTGCAAAAGGTTTTACGGCTGATGAAATAAAATTCGCTAAATCCGCTCTAAGCAATATGTTGGGTGGCATTGGCTATTTCTATGGTTCGAGTCGTGTGCAATCTGTTTATACGAAAAATCCTGTGCCATATTGGAAGGCTCCTTTATATACAGCAGTGCCATCGCGTTCGTTCTTCCCACGTGGTTTCCTTTGGGATGAAGGTTTTCATGGTTTGCTTTTATCAGCTTGGGACTTAGATATTGAATTAGATATTATGTGTCACTGGTTTGACTTGCTTAATGTTGAGGGTTGGATACCACGTGAACAAATTTTAGGTGTGGAAGCGTTAACAAAAGTGCCTGCAGAGTTTGTCATACAACGAAACACAAATGCAAATCCTCCAACTTTCTTTTTGACGCTGAAAAAAATACTAACGCATCATAAAAACGAATTATCAATAAAAGGACGTATTGATATATTAGAACGGCTTTATCCACGTCTACAAACATGGTTCGCTTGGTACAATACAACGCAAAGAGGTAAGTGCTGGATTAGAATCGTTTGAAAACAAATATAAATTATGTTGCTTAGGTGACATCTTGGGCACATATCAATGGCGTGGACGTGATGCCACCAGTGAAAGAGAACTCAATCCCAAAACACTTACATCAGGCTTAGATGATTTTCCGCGTGCTTCGCATCCTACCAGTCAGGAACGTCATGTTGATTTACGTTGTTGGATAGCATTTGCTGCTAGCGTTATGGGTGAACTGTCGACATTGTTAGGCAAAGACGATGTCAAGTACTACGAAACGGCCTCATTTCTAACTGATAATAAACTTTTAAATGAGCAACATCTTAGTCCATTCACGGAATCGTATGCAGATTGGGGCTTGCACACAGATTCCGTAGTGCTTAAGCGACCACAGGTGACACAGAAGAACCAACAGAAATACCAACAGCAGCAGTTGGAAATGGTGCGCGTTACACTTAAACAGCCGGACTATAAATTCGTTGACACAACCAATGGCTATGTAAATTTATTTCCATTTCTACTGGAAATACTTGAGCACGACTCACCATATTTAGGCAAAATACTGCTGGACATACATAATCCAGCGAAGCTCTGGACACAATTTGGTTTACGTTCCTTATCGAAGTTATCGCCACTTTATAACAAGCGTAATACAGAACATGATCCACCGTACTGGCGCGGCCCAATTTGGATTAATATTAACTACTTAGTGCTGAAGGCGCTGCGTCATTATGGTAAAATTGAAGGCCCATATGCAGCGCAGGCACGCGATATATACAATGAATTACGTGAAAATGTCGTTGGAAATATTTTCAAGGAATACCAAAGAAGCGGTTATATATGGGAACAATATGATGACACGACTGGACATGGTAAAGGATGCAATCCCTTCACCGGTTGGAGTGCGTTGGTTGTACTTATAATGGCCGAGCATTATTAGAAATTTTATAAATTTTCAATTTAAATAATTAAGTAGTTTCTCGATTTTACGAGTGGAAATTAAAATTTACTAAATTTAGAGAAAACGATAAAGTCTTAAGCAGTAAAATAAATAACCAAAATAGTTAGCAAAGAATTTGTGAAAATATTAGAGGTATTCACGATTTGGAGTAATAACTCCGTTAACCGAGTAACAGTAACAGTGCAAAGCGGCACGAACAAAAAACATTTACACGAAGTGCTACTCGGTAGCCGCGAATTTTACCAAAGATTGTGAACACCACAATTATTGATTTTATATTATTTTTTGTATTTATATGTATAAATTTTTTTTGTTTTTGCAGATAATTAAGTTAAACTTATTTATTATTAATGTGTTATTATTTTAATCTTTTACTTAATTAATTGTATCGCTTCGTAACGACGTGCCAACGATTTTTTATTAATTTAATTAAATGTTTTTTTGTATGTTCATAATAATTGCTGGTACTTTAATTAGTTTAAAAATAATTTAAAGAGAAAACATTTATTTAATGGCTGCTATTAAGGAAATTATATTTTTCTTGGCTTATTAAGAATTTTTTTAATTAATATTTTTTAAAGAATTGCTATTACTTATATGGTATCTAAATCATTTTGCTAAAATTATTTCAAATATGTTTAATAATAAAAAAAAGTAGAATTTTAAAATTGCGCTTACACGACATAGAAAATAAAAAATTTTAAAGTATTTAAAGCAATGAAAAATTGGTCAAATAACTTTAAAAAATGCATGCAAATCCAAGTACGTTTTCTTGGATTTAACAATTATCGATGTTTCTAATAGTAGTTGATTTTCAAAGGTCTTGAATATTAATAAAAAAACTCGCAGTTGACTATTGAAACTTTAAAAAATAAAAAGTTTTTATAGATAATACATTTCAATCAATTAAAAACAGTTAAAAATTTTAACAAAATATATTTATTTGTTATATTTTTTAAAATCATTAAGCTAGTAAAACTTCCATTAGGAAGATATGCTGGGTTTCAAAGTATACTGAAGTATACTTTCATAAAACATTCTGAATAACTTATTATCAGAATTCAACTTAGCTCTTATTACAGTGGATCATAATAATAGTTACAGACACTATTGAGTAAAAGTGCTTTAGACACTAATTCACTAAAAAAGAAGCTAATAACACAGCATAATTAAAAATGTTAGTGGTTGCTATCAAGCCCCACATGTCAAGGTTATGGAATGGTTGCACTATAGTAAGGATAATAAGATCTGTACTAAAAAAGATAATGTTAGTATCATAATCCATCTGTTATAGGTTCAGGATATTTCAGCAATGCTATAAAGGACTCGATATTCATCACAATGGAAAAAATAATGTTAATGGATTGAAATTATTAATCGTATAAATAGATGAAGCTAGTAAGACAGTAACACAGTAGCACAGTTAAATAGATGACATTAGGAAAACATTCTGAAGCCGGAATCCACTTAGGCCGAAGTGGTCACTGATAAAATTGAAAAATACCACTTTTATTAGTTAGAAATTGTCTAATTAGGATTTTAAGGTCTACATAACTAACGTAATGAAAGCAAAAAACTCAAATAAATTACCTACTCTAATCTGAGTAGAGCATAAAATAAAATAAATATGGAATACTGGCTTTCAGCTACCATGGCTGACCTTTTGTACTGTTAACCGACACTCCGCCCTTCAAATGAAAATAAAAATATCAACTGTTATAAGGATATTTGGACCAGCAATCTCCACCTGGCCAGATCAAAGCTAGACAGTCACAGAGAATGTGAAGTCCTATATGCTTCCAAATAGTTGACATTCTCTTTTCTAAGGAAAATCAATTTTGATAAGACTATGAAGCAGGCTATTCAGACTCGTCAGATAACCTTTTAACAACCTCGGCATTGTTCTACTGAGCAAGAAATGCTGCTGTAGTAATACGGACGAACCAGCCTAGCGATTACCTAAAGTGCCGCTCGATATCTTTCCGTTTCACATCAGATACATTACTCTAGAAAAACTTCTTACACAAATAGGTTTTGATCCACATAATTTTATGGTTTATACAGTCTTTGCGATATTGTACGTGAACTTATTGTTATTGATTCCTGTGTGACCAGGCGCCCAGCAAAGCACTATTCGGTTTTAGCTTGCCAATTGCTACTATATGTCAAAACAGTCTACTAAAATTTTTTAATTAAACTACCAAGAGGAAATGCTTTGATTGCTGCTTGATTATCTGGTTGGCTAGACTACAGAACTCAATTGTGTGAAGATCCACTTAAAAAACAGGGAGCCATAATGCAATGCTAGCAATATCCTTGAGTTGGGTTCAAAGAGTCCTTCACCAACTTCACAACTACTTTTAGAATACTCAAAGTAATACAAAATCTATTTTGATTCCCAGCAAGGAGTGTCATTTTTTCGATTTATACGATCGAAGATGTGGTCTTCAAAACGCATATCTCTATGTCAGGAATTAATCTGCCGATAGTATCTCGACTGTAACATGGAATCCACTATCATTAAGAATATCATTATTAATAATAAGTCAACTACACAGGCAAATATAAAACGTTCTTCCCGACATCTTTACAGTTGCGACACTGGTTATTAAGGAATAATTTTTACCTTCGTGCATATTTACATATACCATATTGAACTAATTTGAACGGTAAGGTTCATAAGCGACCAGAGAATCTGGTATGAACAAGTAAGGTTAGTTATTGTAAAAGTATCTGGATGTGGGTAAATATAAAGGATAAAAATAGTAGTTAAGTGAGATTCAGACGGGATGAGGTATTAATTAATACTAACCCGGGTCAAGGTCAAGAAACTTGGGTACTGCAATGAAGTGAAGCAGGCTTAATTTAGTGTGTGCTGAGAAGACGATTTCGACATATATGAAAAATCTGTATAATATTCTATTTACTAAAATAATTTATTTCTTTTTTCGTTTGCAACGTTTTTTACATACATACAATTATTATCTATAGGTTTGTATTAAATTATACTTATGTTATAAAAATTTTACTAGTATTATTTTAACTTATTTAATAAACTTATGCCTTATTCTATATCATAGATTTATTTGCCGTTAAGAAAAAAAAACAGAAAATAATGGGTGGTTTTTGTAATAAAATTAAATATATAACCTATGTACAGTACAAATGTAATAAAAATAATTTTTTAAATTTTTAGTTATGAAATAATTTATATGTATATGTTTTGTATATGCAAAATAGTAAAAATTTAATTTATTTGGAATTTTAAGGGGAAAAGTTTTTATTTAAAATATATATATATAATCTTTGTAAAAATTTTACGATGTTAGCTTTGAGCTAAGTTCGCTTATTGGCTTAAGTACTCTAAAGTCTAAGTAAATATTATTAACTATGTTAACTTATTTCGAATTTGCTTACAAATACACTGCGGTTTGATTTGTAAACTTTCCAGAATATAAACTTTTTATGAGAGAACTTAACTTAGACGAAGTCTTTTTGCTTAATTTCAAATAATATTCTATCGTAAATTATATGTAAATGATTCCACTCCACTAATCAGTTTTGCTTCTATAGAATGAGAAACGTTCTAGTAATGCACGTAGTATACTGCCAGGGATAAGTTGATGTTTGTTTATAAGTTCCTCCAGAGCAGCTGCAACCTAAAATTAAAATAAAATATTTTTAACTCATAATCCAATTCTATTTAATTTAAAGAAAAAATATTTACTTTAATTTGCAGTTCTTCCGGTGTAAGATTTTCATCATATTCAATTGGTTTTCCTAGATATGTTCGCAGTTTAACTGGGAAACCTCCATAAATTGGATAAACTGGCACACGTATCCAATTGTAAATCTTTAAGAAGAGCCTTCGAAATATAGTCAACTGTCTAAATCCTTCACGGATATTTTGTGTGAAACATGGTATTATCATTGCTTTAGATTCGTGTGCGACCTTAGCAAATCCCAATCGATTACGCCATAGCAATTCATAAAAATGATCCCCGAACTGTGCTTCTAACACCCCACCCGGTGAAATAGCTAATAAATTTCCTTCCTTTAGTATATTTATGCAGGACTGTACAGTACCGGCACTGATATGAAACGCTTCAGCTATGGTATTCCAGCCAGGTATTTTGAAAAGAAAACGGTCTGCAACTGTGTAGATTAGACGATCCTCCTGCATTAGCATCCGTGCATTTAAATAATACATGTCAATGGGTATGGCACCATGATAGTAAACGATCAATGCAGCTTTATCCTTTGGAATATTTTCCATGCCAATTACTTCGTACCCATGATAGAAGCGCCCATGTGCATCCCACATTGCTGCAACTATTTTACGACCGACTTCCCAAAAATTTCCATCAGTTTGCACGGAACGCAAAATAACTTTTCTGAAACAGAAGTAGGAAAGATTTTATAATTATAACAAATATATATAGACTACAGACAAATATATCATGGATAGTATTAATACCACTCTAAGTACCCATCATATATTTGATATATATATACATAATATATATTGATACAACTCTGAAATGAAAATAGAAGAAATATAGTTTTTGCAATGTTCTGGACAAGTTCTAGAACCGGTGATCTTGGACAAATTTATTCAATTATAATATACATAAATTCTAATTCTTAGCAGACTATAAATAATTTTATAAAACTCATATTGATGTATTAAACTATTTTGACAGTCAATCAGCACCATGATAGATATTTCCCAAGCCCTTTAAATATTGTATATAAAAAAATCACGTATGAATAATAATTATAATTATATATGAATGAAAAGTCATAGTCGACACGTCGTATCACTGAAGTACCGATCTTACGATCAATCACAAGAAAAGGTTTATCAAGCAAAGACAGTTTCAGACAAGTATGAGATAAATTGAATGTAATGAGCCAAAAATGTTGAAGGAAGTGGATATATATATCGCTAGAGAATTTACAAAGAAATTTTTAAAAACTCTCTTTCACAGAATCGAAACCTTCTCTGAGTTACCATCTTGTCAGACTGCATCGAATAGATTATCAACCAAAGATAATATTACGTACTCATAGAATAGCAATAGAATAAAATTAAGTAAAATTGAATACGTACTACGATATAGACTACTGCGACCATGACTCCCTCCCTTATTAAGAATGTCTACCTTCAAATAAAGGTTAAAAGGTCAGCTGTTAAGGGCATTCTAATATAAATTGGATAAAAACTCCCGACCCAATAATTTACTCCTGACCCATATCGAAGAAGGAACGTCAAAAAGACTATGAAAAGGTATTTAGGATCCTTTTTTGGTCTTAAGAACTATCAAAACAACTGTTTGTTTATTTCAAGTTTTTGAATGGTAAAAGAGCTATTAATATTTTAACTATACTAGATAAATTTTAAACCCAAATTTGTGATCTGACTATAAGCTTAAGAACTGTTCAAGCAGCTGTCTAAGTACCTCTCAAGTTTATTAATAGTAACTTCTACTAGCTTAATTATTTTAATGATTCAATTTTTAAAGCTCTGCCTAAATGATATTTAATGAGTGTATGCTTGCGCATAAAAGAACGTATAAGTGAGTGTGCTAAGAAATCTAGAGTACTCAAAATGAACATAAACAACCAAGTGAACAATCAAGTCAGGTAAGCTGATTAACTTACTGAAGACCTGTTCAAATCGAATAATAAATTTATTATAAACTAAATAGCGATGATTGACAAAACGAAAACAATTAACATCACAAACCTCTCACTTAAATATATATACATATTACTTGGTGTTGTCATTACCATTGACTTTGTTACAAAGTTAATAATATATATGCAGAAATACCTATTTGTAAACACAAATTATAATGTATCTATATAATAAAAACTATAAAAATATCTTTCAAAAATACATTTAGTCGAAGCATTTTTTACTAATTGCATTGAACTAAGTTGCTTTTTTATTGTTGTTAAGATTTTACTCTTTCATTAGAGTTAATAAAGTGTAATTTATTGATAATATATGTTTATTAAAATGTTTAATATTGTAAAGTCAATAAATCGTAGCACATTTTACTTACTCTAAAATTTTTATCTAATTAGCACTTTTGTAAAAAAAAAGAACAAACCACTTAATAAATTATTAGGTGTGATTAAGTGCTCGTAAATTATATATAGAAAGCCACACATAACCTATCCTAAACCCAAGAGTATGACGCATTCAAAAACATTCTATAATTGCAGCCGTTGTGGGCAATGCCTATAAATAATAAATGAAACGTTATTTTCTTATCAAATTATTTCAAAAATTCTTAAAATTTCGGCTCACTGAAGGCCGATGCGTTCAATTGCACCCGACCTAATAATGACCTTCTTATCTGAATTTTAGAGAGCATAAATCAATGACATACTCGTATGTGCAGATACTTAGGGAACATAGAAATAGAAATATTTCTAATCTAAAACATCGCATATATCGTATATAAAAAAAAATAAAAATAAAATTATATAGAAAAAAGAAAAAGATATTAATAATAATAACAATGGCAATAAATAGCAGTTGTCTTTCTGATATGATAAGAAACTGATTTAAATTTAGCAAAATTATCGCCCACCCTGGTCTGACCAACCATACATTGTAGCAATTTTCGTTTATTCACTGTAATAAGTACTTATAATAATTATAATAATAATTATAATCGCACAAGAATTACTCAAATATGTTATCAGTCCAATGGCGTGATTCGACCAAAACAACTGACGAAATTTATAAGATAAATTTGCATTGTTTACAAACAATTAACGAGTAATAAGTAATAAGTATCTCGAAACTAGCAACTCGTTCTACATACTATACATACTATATTTGTGAAGCAAGACGTATTAGCTGATTACACATATGACTCATTAAAGTACGCAAGTGCCAGACCCACAGAAGGATTTAGAACTCACATTATGGAATTTGTTGATAAATATTTTATTTTTTTTCATTTTTTTTTCACTTAAAATAAAATTAAATCGGATAGCAGCTCTCTGAGGTCAGTATTTATAATTACTACAGAACTATAATATGTAATATGTAAAATAACCTCATAAATAAAGAAGCAGGTATAAATATATAAGACTGAAAAAAAATCATCCATTTTTGCAATAACAAAGTAAACTTCTATTCATTAATTGTTTCAAATTCTTTAACCTCTAACAACCTTTAGATAATTTAAGTTTAGCTGTAATTAAAGTTACGAGATTCTATAAATGCAACTGCATGCAGATAGATACTGGTATGGGTACGGAATTACCATTACTATGTATATAAAAAAATTGCTGCAACCGGTTTCACAATGTATTTTGTTATTGCGTCACTGTCTTTCATCTTCTGTAACTCACCATACCATTTAAATAGATAGTATGAAAGTCAAGACGATATAACCTAAACAATTTCAAATAAATAATATATTATATACATAATATATAAGGTTGTTCGAAAATTATTTTCATTATCTTATGAAACTGAAAAATGGTTTTCTAACCAGTAAACAAATTTTTTATTGACTTATATATAGTTCATTCTGTTCCCAAAACCTCTTCCCAATTCTCTGGCAATAGCACGTTTAAAGGCTCCTTAAATTTTTGTGCTTTACTAGCAAAAGCTGGGCATATCGCTAACATCACTATGTTAACATCAACTGTTACTGAGTTCTTTCTGTGCTAAAATTTTTAATAAAAGATGGGAAGACTCAACGATATGTAGGCATCTGTATGCAATCTGGTCACCTTCCAATAAAAGGAAATCCAAAATTCTCATTGAGATACCCCGTAGAGATATCTGTCTTTTGGTAGGTTTACTTACAGGTCACCATAAATTAGGAAGCCATACTAGAAGATTAGACTTCCCTTTCAATAAAACCTGTTGCAGCTGTGGGGAAGACGATGAGATTGCCTCTCATCTATTATGTTTTTGCCCAGCTCATGCACAGCGGCGACTTAACACTTTAGGAGCCCCCTTTCTTGAGAATCTTAATCAATTCCAAAACCTAATACAAAATAGCATTTTAGGCTTCGCCAAAGGTTCAAGGTGGTTTTAAACCCAGAGTTTTTCCTATATATACGGTAACACAATGGGCCAATAGACCTAAATGAAAAGGTTTTACCTCATAAAAACTTTGTAGAGCCCAGAATAAATAATAATAAAAAGATATCAGATCTGAAGCATATCCCAGCCAAACTATAAAAGCATTTGGAGAGTTACTTACTTAACTTGTATGGGATCTCGCATTTACTATTGATATGAAGAATATGCCAGGTATGACAATAAATCTCATCCAAGCTATAAAAACATTTTTCGAATTACTTAACTTATATGGGATCTCGCATTTCCTATTGATTGATTCAGGTCTTTCTGTTTAAGTGAATCATTCAATGGCCCAATTATGATTAAGGAAGTACGAGATTCATCCTGCAAATAGGTGAATATAGGTACTAATCACATAAAGTTTCTGCTGGGGGACTCTAAATAATTCCATATAAAGGATATTTAAACTTTGACATCAGCTAAAATTAACATCTTCATTTGTTTGAATTTATTTAAAAAGATTTTTAATCTGACTTCCATTCATAAATATATCTGAAACCAACTGTACATAACTGTATAAATATCTTATTAACATACTTTCTAACAAAGTAGAATAAAATAATAATGACTAAAACTTTAATGAAACTTAAGAAAAACTACTAAACTTGTTTTTACGTTTTTACTTAAATTTTAACCTCTTTAAAATATATTTATTTACATTTATGCATGCATATATATATAAATATACATACATATCTACGTATATCATTTATGCATTTCATTTTAAAATGAAAATACTGAATGTTATTCATAACTTTTGTAGTATATACAATACTACTTATATTAGTACGAACTTAATTGAGTTGGGTACTTCGAGTCAATACTTCGAGACATAGGAAAGGCAAAACGTTAAGTCTAGCAAACAATTTACTATATACATATCTCTAAGAGATATAAGATACTAGCAATAAAGAAATTATTCAATATATTTTCAAAATGATTAGATCTTGAATTAATATTATTACTTTATAAAAATAATATATATACCTATTATATATATATAATAATATATATTAGTTTTGTTTTTTATGATAGTAAAATTGGGAAATAACCAAAGCCCAAGATCTCGGAGAAAAAAAAACAATGAACCTTCAGTGGATCGAAGCTAAAAGACGGCAATAAGAACACATCACATCTTTACCAAGTACCAAGTCCAGCTCTTAGTGAACTGCTATAGAGGATATTACTTTACCCAAATTCGCTTCCCAATTCACGATAGAGACGATTGATGGATTGTTATAGAGAATATCACTTTACCCAAATTCGCTTCCCAGTTCACGATAGAGACGATTGATGAATTGTTATAGAGAATATTACTTTACCTAAATTCGTTTCCCAATTGACGATAGACACATAACTGGTATTTGGAAGTAATTACTAGATAATTAAAAAACCCTTTACTTAGTCATTACTTTTTTAAAAAATAGCTTTTATAAATCATATACATATAAATATCTATACATACATATATATGCAAGAAGTCTGGAACAAATCTCCAGGTCTGAACAAAATGTAAGTACAGATGAACATTAAATAAGTACTTAACACGAAGGTTCAGGGTCTATTTCAGGAAGAATTCCAGTCTTCAACAAAAAAATAAGAATAAGAAAACATGTTATGATATGATTATGTTAAGATAGATTAAGCAACACATTGGAAAGTCTTTAATGTGGACACTGGTGTGAACTGTAATTCTGTACACTGAAACGAAATGCCTGTTTAATAGATACCTTGTCCAAAAAATTAAAAAAGGCTAAAATAGTTATAAGAATCTCCGTTTTATAAAGGGTAAATATATAAACACTTTAAGAGAATGTTAAAAATGTTTAAACATATTAAACGGAAGTGCTTGGGGGTTCACATCTCCACTAAAACCTTTTACTAAAAACGTCACGTCGTTAACAAATAACAAATAACTTTACAAAAAAGATGTAATAATAGGTAAACAATGTAAAATTAATTAATAGATGTCAATTGATAGATAATAGACACTATAAACGTTATTACTGCAAAAAAGTGTTAAACAGTTTATTATCTAAGCTGGGCTGAAAGCAAAAACTTGATTATATCTGAGTTAATATTAAACTAACTAAAATATTGGCCTAAAAAAATACCTGCTTATTAGTTAATTTAAAAAAAACTTGCTGCAGTTAAATCAATATACTCTTAGTTCAATCCAAACAGAAAATATTCCATAAATCAAAACCAGCGAAATTAATTTTGCATTAACTTAAAACCGTACATATATACGTTAGCTATATGTAGATTATCTATATATCTAAAAATTCTATAGATATTATATATCTTTATATTATAATATATCTATAGAATTATAGATACATTATAGATTATAGATGAACAGAAGCCTTAGCAGTATATGAAACTGCAAGACGATTAATAAACTTTTGGCTATTGTTGTCCCTCATGAGAACGTGATAGTTTCGGATGAAAGTACAACAGAAATAGAAATCAATTTCAATCTGCTATAGTTATGGATAGTAAACTTTATTTGGGTTAAAGTGAAATAAGACAAAAAAGATGGAAAAGATGGGAATGGGTGTAAAATTATTAAATGATAAAATTAAATCTTTTTCCCATTTAAACCAACGCCCTCCAACTAAATACCTCAAATGGACGAAGTTTTTAATAACATGTGAATATGAACATATTTTTTGTGGGTAGTTCTTCTTATCTATTCATAATACTACACCAATATTTTAGATAAGTCTGTCTCCTTCTCAAGGAGAGTATCCAGATATACAGTATCAATTGGATTGCACTAATATGTCTGTTAAGAAAACACGTAATGTTCAACAATCACGGCAGATAATCACGTTAAAAACCTATGAACTCTGTAGTTTAATCGTGCATTGGGCACTAGTTCTTTCTTTTTTTTTTTAATAGTATTACAATCTTGAATATATTGAATATATCTTGATATTTTTTAATCTAATGCGATTAATATTGATTAAATTGCGATCACATTAGATCAAAAATTGTGGTCTCACGTGCATCCTTTTTGTTAAGATCGTCTACTCTAACATTGATCCATCTGATCGTTTACTTTAATATTGATTAGAATGCGATCGCATTAAATTGAGAATGTATTCTCACGTTATGCCTTTTGTTAAGATCGTCTACTTTAACATTGACCCATCTGATCGTTTACTTAAATATTGATTAGAATGCGATCGCATTAAATTAGGAAATGTGTTCTCACGTTCATGCTTTTTCTTAAGATCGTTTACGTTAACATTGATCCATCTGATCGTTTACTTTAATATTGATTAGAATGCGATCGCATTTCTAAATGTAATGCGATCGCATTATTCACACGTTATTTCTATTTGTTGATCTATATCATCCTTCTTTTTTAATTTGTTATTAATCCGGAAAAAAGGATATGTGTCATTAAAAATTGGTTTATTTTTTGAATAGTTAAAATTTAAGACCATTTCTTATACCAACTGTTAAAATGTTTTTTTTTTAATTTTGATGCAACAATTTGTGGTTTTTTCCATGTCCAATACAGTTCCAAAATTAGAGAGCGCAACTTTTTTTGGGTCTGTCACAGTTCCCTAGACGTTTCCCATTATAAAAGTTCGATCAGCTCAACTTATGCGGCTGCCACTGCAGCAGCTTTTTGATTTGTTGTATTTTTTTTTAAAACAAATATCAAAAGGAGAGCTGATCTTCGTGATTTTTATATGGCTGTAGTTGTAAATTAACTGATTAAGTGGAAATTTTTTTCCATAGCTTCTGATTCACACTCTACTCGGAACTTAGGTTTCAATACTGTCTTAAGTCATTAACTCTGTTGGCTTGATTCATATTTAAGCGTGCAACAGTATTTCATACTAAGTTGGAACATAAGGTTAGACTGTATTATTGGCCCAAAAATTTCTATATAGCTTTGAGTTAATCATTCTATCAATAGTAAATTTGTAGTTGTTGTTGTTGTTGTGGTAACCAGTGTTGTGTCACAATGAAAGTAAAACGGGTTAAGTTTCAACAAGGACACACAAATTCACTTCTAGCGTTTTGGCGGCTATAATTTTTAACTATAAACTCGTTTAAATCTCTACGTGCATGGAATTAGTGATTAGTGAATATATTTCGGTAGCATAAATTTCAAAATATATTTTATAGAAAATGTTAGTTTAAAAAAAAAACTGAATTTTAATTAATTATAATTATATTATAATTCACATTGCAAAACAGTTATGCGTAAGTATGGCAATTACTGGAAATAACTTACCGGTGTAATCGGTATATGCAAAGCATAATGTACGATATGTAGATGAGCGCCACAAAAACCATGGGCAGCAGAAATGTTATCAACAGCGGCGTAAGTAATCGGTAAAGCCATATTGAATAGTCCAGATCAATGTAAGATGCTGAAGAATAGAAGAAAAAATCTCAAACATTTTCTAAATCTTATATATATATATATTTAAAGTATATAAGAAATTTGTAGTTATTGGTAAAACAATAAATTATTTGTTAACATGGAAACTTACACAAAAACGTTTGCAGATTCTTTAAAATATTTTGTAAAAAATCCATTTTGTTTAATAAACGATTTTATTCTTTATATTTATTTTTAATTTTTATTAAAAAAATTGCTTTCAAATTACTGACGCACACTGATTTCTTTTTTGTTGACTTGTTTGTTTTTTGGCTAACTTGACTTTTTAAGCAAGGGCCAAAGACCTAATTTTACTGAATTGAACTTCTTATTTTGCGCTTTTTGGCTTCTCTTCTTCTTCACCACCTTTTAACTTTTTGCTCTTTAATTTCGTACATATTTGCTTTGCATAATTTGTTTTTATTTCTTGTTGCAAAATTTTAACTACTATTAAATATGCATTTAGTTTTTTATTTCAACATTCTGTCACAAGCCGAGAACCTTTTCCCCCGGCGCATAGCGACCAAAACACAACCAACGAATAAAAACAACTGAAAAGTTTTTTGTCGAAAGCAAACACAAGAACTGACTGACATATCATATGATTTCTATTTCCATTATAATTTATGTTTACCATTTTTTTTTTTTGAACACATTCTCCAAAAGTACTAGATGAGGCATTTTTATTTGTGAAATTATTTTTAATTCATGGGCTTAAAAACACTTAATTAACGTAAGAAAATTAAAGGAAATTTTTAGTTTACAATTTTTATCTTTACTGCGTAGATCATAATAAATAGCATTATTATTTTCTTTGTAGTTGTCAAGTCACTAAGGAACTCCAGATGAACTGCTTTGTTAGACAAACGGCAAAATATCACTATGTAGGCCTTGCATGGAATTGAAGAATGGTCTTGTTGAAAAAACTCTATCCTTTGGTGGGTTGCCCATTATTTGTTTTAACATTTAAGGCCGTGCTCGCCTGTATAACACGCAATGTTGTACAACAGCTCTGACCATGCACTCTCCTTTAATTGTCCAGAATTTTTGCCTGGTCTGTGCCAACTTGAAGTTCACAATGGAGTTTTTCTCGATGTACGTGTTCCATAATAAGCTTTGCCATACAATGACCCCGTGATTGGATGTTTCTGATTGTATGGTATACTTAATTCTGAGGTACGTCCTCGTACTCTTATGTTGTTTTTTTCTGAAAATAGTGCAAGTCCCTGAAGAAAATGTTTTGTTTTAATGATTTGGCTTTAGTTAAATATTTAATTTCTTCGGAGAACTCGCTTAATTGAACTGCCTTGATGGTGATGATTACCGCTTCATCTAAATATATAAAATGTATAAAATGTTAGCTGAGTTTGAATAACTCAATTTAGGAGTAAAGTCTATACCCCCATGTTTATAGAGAAGATGAGAACAAGGATATAAACGGGGAGAGGATTAAAACAATATAAAAGAGGGTCTTTATATAATAACCCGTTTTTTTAATGATGTAAAGTATGGAGCCCATCACACGCCAAATAATTTGACCGATTACCAACATGACGCGAAATAAAGCAGGTAACTTCAACTTACTAAAGACGTAGGTAACACTATTGACCGCCACCGCCTTATATCGTTTCACTCTGAAGATGTGCTACAATGATTTTGTTTTGTCTCCTCTTTTATAATCTACTGAAATTGGTTACTTCATCTCTTCGTATGTTACTAAGTTCAGCGGGGACACCAGAAAAAGTTGAGAGCAGAAATTTTGGTGTAAAGAGGGAAACTAAAGTTTCTGATATGTAGAGACCAGCTCAAAGTCCAAAATCAAAAAGATTTAAATAAATACGTGCATTAAAGCATAAGAATAAGTTGCAGAAACAGTCAAACTTAGATCCTGGAACCACTTTCCAATCACAACAACTAAACGCCGCTCCTTGCTCTCAACAGGTACTATACCGACGACAGGTATATATTATCAACAAGATTTTCGACAGAGTAGATCGAGTCTGACCCCAATCAACTGATATTATTTTATATACTTTTTTCTTGGTCCTGATAGTTTCCACTCCATATTATAGTTTTTTTTTTTGTAAAAATTGTAGGTCAACTATTGTAATGAGGTTCACAGGCTTAAACATTATTAGCTTTATATTGGAAATATAAGAATTTTTAGTCGAATTGGCAATAGAAAGTATTAAAAACTAATATTTAAAAATGAAAACATATAATAAATTCTCATTAAATAATTAGTAAAACAATAAGTCTAAAACATTGAATTTTCAGGTTTAATTTGAAATACTGTTTTTGCAGAATTTTTATTGTTTATGCTTGTGGTTAATTAACATATATTATATTTGCAAAATGTCTGTTTGTCTCTCTATTTTCCGTTAAGTATGTACTTATATTTAATATAAATTTAATTAATTTATAGTTAGTTAAATAGTCTATTCTTCTATTCTTCAGTTGTAAAATTAGTGCTAAATAATTCGTTGCAAATTTTTACTGCAACATTTCTACGTGCAACTTTCTTGGACCGGCCAGTTGATGTAAACACCTGTTCATCAAGTGTCACACTTACTTGCTGCAACACGTTGGGCTTTTCGCCAATGACTCCATCATAATTATAAACCAATCCTGGACGCATCTATATAAATTTTGAATAAAGTTAATGTATTATTCTATTTGTTACTTCGGTTCTACTAATTACCATGCAAAGCAAAGTAGTTGGGTGCATATCTTCCCAATTTGGTGGTAGATCATTACGAATTGGAGCTTTTTTCGGTTCCTTTGGAGTGGTTGCATCATGTTCTGGATTACCATTTGCTGAAGGATGAAGTTCAGGAACAATATAACCCTCACTCTCCCACTCTGAGAAAAGTTTATATATGGCAAATGAAGCCAAATTAATCATAGGTAAATCATCATCAGGAGGATTTTGTGAATCTGTTGCGTCTGAGTCTAAATAAATATAGAATATTAAAATGTTATTTAAATTTTGTGAAATTTTTAAAAAATTTTACCATTTGTAGTATCCATATTGACATCCTCACTTGAAAGTTTTTGGTTTTTGGGTAGTCTAGGCTTTTCCATCATTTTAGCAAGGACAAAGTCTCGTAAAGCCTTTTCGCATGCATTATTTTTAGCAGCAGTTTTTGAATTGCCCTTGCCCTCATACTCGCTCGCATTAACAGTTACAAGTGCAATGAAGCCACCGTTAATATTATTGCTAATAGTAAAATCGCTTATTTTAATGCCTTTTACTTCATTTAAAGCCATTAAAGCATTTTTGGGTAGTATAGCTTTGCGCAAACGGCGATTTTGGCGTATCTTCTGCTCCTTTGCTCGAACTAAAAATAAAAAATACAAGTATAAATTGAAAAATAGTGTATATTTTTTTTGTATCGCATCAAACACACCTGAAGACTTCTTTCTAGTTAAGAAAATTTTTTTGAACTTCAGTTTACCATTTTCGCGAATAGAAGATGCGTCATCATCATTTTCAGTGTCTGGCACTAATTTATCAACTGCTACGTCTTCCTGGAGGTTTTGGTTATTAGCAGGTTCCTGCTGCATAGCTTCCACCTTAGGCTCTTCGAAAACAGCTTGAGATGGAAATTGGTCCTGCACCTGAAACTGTGGTTGCTGATAACCTGGCGCCTGCGCTGCTCGTTGTCTATTGTTGCTGTTGTTGGCTGAACCATTCTAAAGAAAATATTTTAAAAATATTTATTTATATTATCAAATATCAATAAATTGTATCCTCAAATTGCTATATTTTGTATAATGTACAAACCATAATTTGTAATGTATACCTTTCATTCGTCCTTGCCCGCCTGATCAAGGCATATGTATATCTAATATAATTTCCACTTGAATCATAGCCCCAACTTTGTCCATAACATTATGTTTATTACAACAGAAAATTTAGTTCAGGAATAGCTATGTACATTCCTGCAGCCAATACCCAAACGATATTGGAAGGACGTTGAAGCAAATTTGTGAGATTAGACTACATTTTGATTTATCTTATCGTTATTGCTTATCAAAAACAATAAGGTAAATCAACTACATAACACAATTTGCAACAGTATCACCCTAATTACTCTAATCGTCTGTATAAATTTTACAAACCATTTATTCCTTGAAAAAAGTATTATTCCACTTGGAATTTAATTTTACATATTGGAACATCGCAAATTGCCAGATTTACGACATCACGCTGAGAGCGCTGGCAACCTACCACGCAACAATGATATAAATTAAAAATTTCAAGCCGGGGTATGTATGTAGATATATCTTATATCTTCGGCATAATTTTCAAGTGAATAAATAATTAATTAAAATATATAAAACTGCCGTTTTCTTAAGCAAAAATTTTTTTTCGTTTGAGATCAAGCGGAGTAAATGAACATAACTATTTAACGCAAAACTAATATTTTTGCATTAAAATAAAGGAATTCATTTTCAAAGGACTCTTAAAATCAATACCAATCATTCCACTTTTTTTTTTCTTTATCGATTTGCCGTAACAGGCTTCCAACTATGCTTTTTTCTGGAAGCAATGCGTAATTGGCGGATGTTACTGCACATTTCATCAAATTGGTTTTAAAGACTTTTGAAATTAAATTCACTTTATGGTATACATAAAAAATCAGATACTGAACAACACTGTAAATTGTAAAAATAAATTAATTTTTGTTAATTTTAGAAAATTTAAAAATTATAATGCATTAATTTTTGATGCTAGCTTAGACGGTACACAAAGACAATGGCAGATTTGGAATAAAAAAAAAGATGCTATAAAATTAATTAAAACATATGGCGAATTAGTAGTGTCAAAAAAAAAAAAAAAAAATATTTTAAGGATAGGAAATGTATTTTATTAACTCGATATCATTTTAACCTATTGACAATTTAAAATCTAAGCAAAAACTAATAATATTGTATATAGTACTGCTTGTCTTATGGTCACCTTATAATTCTACTTACAGATTCTGGTTCTACAGGCTTACTCCCAAAAATCGAACATCTACAGACTAACTAGTATCGAAAATCTGTGAACAGGTTATATTATAATGTTAAACACAAACAGCAAGAGACGAGAATCAAAAACTGCCAACAGCATGATAGAATGAATTTTAAACTTATAAGCTACTACAAAGTTTATATTTTATACCTTTATTTGAGATATAGCATATATAACAATATATAATGCGTTTGAAAAGTCCTTTAACGAAAGACTGTAAAAGTCTTTTACAATCAATTGTAAATAGGTGTTATTCTGAGATTATAATGGCTCTGAGCTACCGTAAAAAGTTGTGGAACTTTCAAATTAGTGAAAATCTATACATAAAAAAGTAATAACTAGATAGACCATAGTGCGTAAATCAAATCTTTTTATCATTTTCTTTAACTTAGTATTAATATAAAGTTCTTAGCGCACTAGCTAACGTACTCAACTGCGGATAAGTGGGGGAAACTGTTGTGATATGAAACAAGCAATCCATTGAATGGGTTAAAATCAATAGATGTAGAAAAAGCGGTTGTAGAAAAAACAACTAGAAAGCCTATATAGAAATCTTATTTTAGATAAGGTAAAAGATATAGAAATTTTTTAGATATTTCAAGAACGAATTGTGTAGTTCAAAACGCTCGATTCTTTTTAAACTGAAAGAGAATGCTGAAGTGAATATTCTAAATAAAACTATATTAATATTACTATTTCACCACAAATGAAATTAATAATAAACTTTAAGATATTATTTAATATGACTCAGCATCAAAATGGTTTAAAATTTGAATTTCGATATGGTCTAATTATTAATCAATAAATAAATGGCAGTTTAATGGTAATCAACCACCGAAAAAATCTGTCAACTGTATATATTAATACGGCTATCAACCACACCCTTCTGGATATAGACATATCTTTCTCTCTTAATGTGTAAAATATTTAAAAAGTGTAGATTTTTCATTTAACTTTGTTCATGTCAAAATAACTTAATATAGTTAAATTTTATTTGTATAAAACAATAAATATTTGATATATACGATATGCATGCATGGTAGAAAGATATTTATTTTTACTTGTAATGTTACTGGAGATATGTAGCCAAATGCTCTATAAATTTGTTTTTTTTTTTCAATATGTTACCAAAAACCATTATAATTTAAACTAAGTATTTCATGAATATTAATTTCATATACTAAATAACTTTCGCTACACCAACATAGATAGAAGATTATGTCATGCGCAATTTATTGGTAGCAATATAGACAGTATCTCATTCATTAGTCTCGGGGAATCAGAATCTGTTTTTTTTTATAGCTGCACTTGGCACTAGCTGATATGTTCTTTAACAAAAAAATAATATTAAATAGTCAAATTTAGATATCACTCAATTATTTTTATTTTAAATGCATATCTATCTATCACACTTCTTACTACTGATAGCACAATTTACATATGTATTATTAAACATATGTTGACACAGAGTATTTTTTTAAGCATTTACCAAAATGCATTAATACAAAACTAAACATAACCATTTATATAAATATATGTATATAACTTACATATGTTCCTCCAGACACAAATTGTTTAGATATAGTATTCATAGAACGTCGGTTGCGGTTCATTGTGTATTATCTATAAAACTTTACTAAGAATGCCACTAAAAACAACTTCCTTCGTTAACGTCTATATGTGTAGTAAAACATTTTTCTAAAAATTCTGTACCTGGGTTTATAAATATTTTTTTTATTCCTTCTTACCTTAACAAAAAATGCAAACCCTAGCTATCCCTATCTATTTGCAAATTATACGGTAAGAAGCATACTTTTATCTCTTTTCAAAATTTTGGGGTAAATACAGCACTGCGTATTTCATTGAAAAGTTTATAAGATTGAATTTACATGATGAGTGCTACTGTCAAATTTCTACATATGACAGGTAAGCTATACATTCGACTAATAGAAGCCAACATAAATACGAATTTCTTTTTATTATAAAACATTTCATATAAAAATTTTTGTTGGCCTACAACTCATTATAACGTTATTTATAATAAAAGTAATTTGTTAAAAATTCTAATATTTTGTATTCTAAATTTACTTATATCACGTATGCTAATATGAACATTAAAGAAAACGACTGACAGGTGATGATTATTAACAATAAAAACCAGCTACGCAGTAATAATATACACTTTTACTTTTAAAAATTTAAATTTAATTTAAAAATTAAATCTTAAGTATTATAGACATACATCTACAACACTGCACACATCTGCGATTTAATTTTTTTTAATAAAATAGTATTGAAATATAGTATTGAATAGTATTGAAATTTAACAATTAAAAATAAAAATATAAGTAATTAATTCAACTCAATTCAATTCAATACACAGCTGGTTTATAATTTCGTTCTAATATAAAAACAGCAAAAAACTTTCACAGCAAAGTAACAAAATTCCAAACAAAATGTGCGAACATTAAACGGCAGGACACAAGTCCGATTCCTAGTATTTGCATTCTCAAAAAATTATGTACGATTAATTAAATACAATAATTATTTCCAAGACCACTGATGATGGGTATTTGACGATACTCGAAACAGCTGTATGATCAGCCAAAAATTCAATTAATTTAAATAATATAAAATGAATTTTTGTTGTTGTAATTCATTACTGTTGGAAAAACCTCTTTATAAAAATATTATGAAGTAAATAACTTGCTGATTAAACTAACTAATAACTATTGTAATTAATACAAGATACAGACAATACTTATATTTAAAGAATTTGAATAATTTAAATAAATTTTTTTTTTTCTAAAATCAAACAGCTGATTATGACATATTTAAATTTACAATTTGTTTGAAATTTCTAATGAGCAACAAATTTAAACTCTTAAATTAACAATTACATAATCAATTAAGTACTTAATTATCATTTCTGATTAAGTCAGTGATATAAGAAAACCTTATAATTGTATTGAGAAGAATTGAGTAAAACCTAATACTTATTTAAAAATGAAATAATTTTTCTTGTATTGCTACCTAAAGTGTTTTATTAAGAAAAATAAAAATATTGAAATAAACATATGTAATTGTTATAAAATAATATAAAATATTGTTATATTAGCGAATAGCGAAACAAACAAAAAACTTAAAGTTATAAAAAATATTAAAAAACAAACTATTGAAAATTTAATAATATATATTATTAAAATGTAATTCAATTTAAAAAAAAGTGTTTTATTATGATTAAATATTTTTAAAAATTCGATTTATTTTAAATGTTTCGCAATATTTATATGAACATTATTGTATGCAAAATACGTCTAATTGCTGCACAATTATCGTTACATGCCATAGTGTGAACGTATTGTAAAATTAATTTTAATTATAATACAATAAAATAGATAAAAATAATAATTGAAAAAGAGATTCACAATCTCCAATAAATAAAGACATATATATCTGTAATACCAGGTGTACATTTATGAAGCGAGCGTAAAGATACAAATGTTCCGACAGGAAACATTTGTTGTGAACGAGCCTTTATTTCTTTTTGTTTGTTTGCTATGACATGTGTGAAATATATTTAGTATTTCATGACTAATTTAGTGAGTTTTAATAACTATTTGATCTATTAAAAATTATTTTATCATGATATTAATACGAAGTTAAGGATATAAAAACGAAAAATAAAAGATACCACAATTTTAAGTAAGAGGCAATTTAATAGTTAGAACCAAAAAATATATAATAATAACAAATAAAAAATCAATATATATTAATAAATATAAAGAATCTGAAATATTGAATATTTTATGAACTTTTATTTATTTTATATTAAAATACATATTAGGATTATAAAAAATATGTAACAATTATAAAAATAAAAATCGATAAATATAACACAATGAATAAATACATATTAAGATTATAAAAAATATAGGATAGTTAAAAATAAAGAATCAATTAATAACAATAAATAAATTGAAGAGTTTTATTAAAATGTTATTAAAGTTTTATTAATTTTATGCCAAAAACATATTGGATTTATAAACAGTATTGTTTTATGTAGATTCCTAACTTTCAAATTTGTAAAAAAAATCCTGTTGTGCGCTAGATGTTTTAGTTTTCTTACTTTAAAATGATCCTGCAGGTCTGACGTGTGGACAGTATCTCATTCGTGATATTACAACGGGCCATTCATTGAGCTCAAGTGAGCCATTCATTGGTATACAAGATTGCCACTTTCCATTTAACATAACCTAACTTTTAATTAACATTGTAATTATAGGCCATTCAGCAAAATTTGGACTTCTTGTGAGCTTCATTGTAACCAAACTCATCTTTTTATGGAATGGAATATAACATAAACAAATACATATAAAAGGCATAGTTAACAATACATATGTATGTACATATATACAAATATTATGTATAAAACTTTAGAGTTTAGGAGATTAGTATAATGTATGTTAAAAACATAATCATAAAGATACATTTAATGACATCATTATGATAATAAGCCTTTTGATATGTTTATAACAAATATATTTTAATAAAAATTACTTTTCATGATTTTTCATTGTATAATTTATACACTTTCTGAATCCTGCGCAGTAATATAAAATAGCAGCCCCATTGGTACTGTGATTGCAGAGAAATAGGGTTTCGTTTGCAAAACTGAGGTAAGAGGGTACCTGTAAACTAAATTTTGGTACAAGCACGTGTGAGAGATCTATTGTAAATAACTCTGTTCACTTACAATCAATTATATATGTATGTTGATTGGTACGGGTGTCTGAGATGAGTTATAATCTGTGAAGTTCACTTACGCATCGTGAAACAGTTGTCATGATTTTATATTGGAATCATATGAAGTATTCTTTACGGGACAACTATAATAACCGACTGATATTCTGATAATATTAGTAAAAAAGTCTAATTACTGTTTTAACAGACATTAATTTGTTTATTTTTATACCTTATATGTATACGCTTACTGATTTGCTGCAGGAGGGTCCAAGACGTCTATAGTCCCTGACATTAACAGAAATTGCAGTTTGTATTATGCAACGTGACCATATGTTTGATGTTTTATTTTAGGGTCTTTTAAAATATTTAAAATTTATAAAAATTTTTATTTAAAATATCAAAACATGAAGTAATGGAACTATAAATACATACATACTATGTACATATAATTACTTTCTGGTATATTAAAAGCACTTACGTATACTCTTTACGTTTATATACATACATACATACATACATTTATGTATGTTTTTATTTATACATCTGCGTGCTTGTATATTTCCAGCTATAGAGACCTGTGATAGCCTGTTCCAAGATAGACAAGAATCAGGTCTGAAGATGTAAGCTACGAAGTTACAAATTTACTTTAATCAAATATAATTTCAATAGATAATTATATGTTAAGTTACTGTTTATTTTATAACTTCATTAATGCCCTCATAGTATATCATAACTACATCGATATAAAATTTATTAATTGTTGTTAGTCTACATAAGCTGCGCATGAGCATTTAATATCTATATTTTTCAATTGTTAATTGTGCTAAATAAAATGCATAATATTATTTGCTATATTAAATTTTAATTGCTTAATATATGTATGTAGGTTTTTTTTTTAAATTTATGCATAAATAAAGGAAGGGACCATGTATAAATGCATATATAGGTACGTGTGTTTATAAAGTATGTATATGAAATCCTTAGCACACATACACAATATCTGAGATAGGCAGCGTCATTTACATTGTACATAATACAGTTTCTCTGGTAGAAGAAAACACAAAACAAAAAAATGCGCGCCAAGTACAGTCATACAAATGGTACGTACAGCACAATATAGCTGTAGTAATATGTGTATGTTTGTATGTTACATATAAAACTATACATAAATAAAAACAAAAAATATTAATGATCTTTTAATCAGGTAATGGACATTACTAGTAATATTTTTATATAAAAAAATTATTTTATATTTCGAAAAAAAAAAATCCAGATCAACCGACCTACCTTCTGCAACGCAGGCCTGACATAAAATAAACCGCTAAATTTATCATGAACAGAACAAACTTTATTTTATACTTTCTATTTTATAAATGCAAAAACTTAAAATATAAATATTGTATGAAGCAAGCAACAACAAAGACTTTGTGAAATTTTTTGTTGTGGCAAAAATTGGTTTCTTTTTTTCATTATTTTTATTTACAATATTCTCTCTCTCATGGCACATCAAACAAACACTAACGACACGACGCTACGTATACCATTTGTATGCAGTCCAATTAGTATATAAAGAGTGAATGAGAAGGCCTGATTAAAATTTCTTGTTTCTGTAAGCGCGTGAATGAAATGGAGTACGAGTTTGAGGGGAAAGACGCCGGGACATACAAATCAATTTCAAATTAATAAAACATATAAGAAAAAAATGCAAAATTGTTCTCTCCTCTCTCTTACTTAGCACATAAGTCGTAATACATTGCCAGCTAAAGCAAAAGGCAAAGGAAATTGCCATAACATTCGTTGTTGGTTCTCTGTGTGTTTTTAATATAGCAACGGCGGGCAGCAAGCTATTGAATAGATTTTAAAAGAAGAAACTTTTTATACTAGGCAAAAGATACTCTATCTATAGAATTGTGTATTGTGTATATCTCGAATACGAGCGCCATCCATAAGCTACTAAGGCAAGCAAGTAAAGCAAGGTTATTACAATAGCAGAGAAGAACATTACCCACTGCGACCAAGTAGTACTACGTACCATGGAGCATTTTCATCAGATTCAGGTAAGTTGAATTTTTTTTTTTGCACTTTTGTTGTTTTTCGTCGTGTTCGTTTCTGTTTTTATATTTTTTCCACCATCAATTGAAATCAAACGCAAACGAAAATCGTATCCGAGAAATGTTTTTGCTTTGATAATGATAATGTGTGATGTTTTGTTGGCGACTTTACCCAATTTTGACGGTTCAACCAAACAGCGAATCGTCAATGCGAAAGCATTGTGACGAAGAAACGACGCAATAAGTCTGTCTGGCGGTCGGTCGTCAACAACGGCAACCAAACGCAACAACAACAACAATTATAATGCAATAACAATTTAATAATATACAAGACGAAAAAACGAATAATTTATTTGTTAAGAGTAGTGCTTTTTTGTTATTTGTGCACTAGCTAAATTTCAATTTGTGCGAATTTAATGGAATTTTTTTTTGTTGAAAATGACGATGAGTCGATGTGCACAATTCTTTAAAGAAATTCATATTTATTGGTGATTTGGAATTGCTTGAACGTTTGAACGGTGATGAACGTTTTCTGTGCGCGTTAAACACAAAAAAATGTACATTTTATAAATATTCCACTGAATTTGCTAACGTTAATAAATTCAAAACAGTATACGTATTGGAAATATAACTGTTCCACAACAGTTTTCTGCTACTTTATACTTGTTGTTGTTGTTGTTTTGGTGAGTCCTAAGTCGCTGCAAAACAATCAAATTTAGTTGATATTGGAAGTTTGTATAAAAAACGTAAATGCGCGACGTATTTTGTTCAATAAAAACGAAAATATTTGCCACTCCCCAAATGTTGTGTTCTGACATTTTAATGCTTGTTATAATCTAGTTTATTATTTTTATTTAATATACCAAATATCAAGAAAAAATTGGATTATTTTAAGATGTTGTTTAGAAAAAGTAATGTATCCATTTCGAATAAATATATACAATTTTAAACATTATTATTATAAATTTATAGCTTATTAAATATATAATTATGCAAACAATACAAAAATCGGTCATTTAATTGCAAATTACAAATAAATTATGCATAATTTCGATTTTAAAATCTTTATATAAAATTAAATAGTGTTGTGTGTGAATTGCAAGCCAACCATTGCGTAACATACATACATACATACAAGTGTACAATATTATTGTTAATAAATTTTCAATAAATTAAAAAACTATTAAAATGCATTAATAATTATATTAAATCAAAAATATATTTAAAATTCTATAAAAAGAATACAGTGCATAAAACATTTTTCCTGGTTGAAAACAGGCCACCATTTTATTTTGTCATGTTTTGCGTTCTCTCCGCGCAGAAAATATTAGTGTTGCCGTTTTGTGTTTTCTAAAAGTTGGACTAATTTGTTTAAACGTAGTGTGTTTGTGTATGCATTGCAAGAAAGAAAATAGTAGATGTGAACAAAAAAAAAATATTGATTAATATTAAATAATTTATATTCATAAATGATTTTAAGATCATACATATTATATTTAGATATAGATTTTTAATTTGATACCTTAATGACATGGAAAAAATATTTTGTTTGATATATTATTTTAATTTTAGGAATAATTTGCCTGAGTTCATTATAAAAAAAAATGAAATAAATAATTTTCTTTAATTACTAGGTGAAAGTTGTTTATCAGTTCAATTATATTATTGCATTCTTAATAATTAAAAAATGGCGGGAAAATTTGTGTACAATATATGGTAGCGTAAACAATCCAATGACTCGTATTATTTACATGCGCGCGGCAACACTGCCGCATTGTTTTTACGACGTAAACAGTATTTAATAGTACTATATTGACTTCGGTACGTTTTGCAACACTTAAAAAGAGAAGAGAAGATTTTAACCTTTTAACACATGTGGTGGGAAAATGTATGATTTTGCTATTTAAATTACGCATCTATTACTTAATTAAAAATCACAAATATTTTTTTTCACTGAGAATTTATTTAATATTTGCGTAATTTAATAAATTCTATAAAATTTAATTATACACAATATGTTATAACAAAAATAGTTTTCATATCGGAAATTAACTAAACGGTTGGCTGCATTTCTATGTAATTATTTATATATAATAAATTTCCCCTACACTATAAATGTGAGAGCGGCGAGAGTACATTTTTAATTTAGTAGATATACATTTGTGAGAACATTAAATATGAGAACTTGTAATTTATATAGCATGTGTATATTTGGGTTGAGCGTCCCTCTTGTGTGAAAAAACCGGTTTTATTCGTCACCATGCAAAGTATATACCTACACAAGTAACACAATATACGTGGAAACAGAGAGAACGGTTTTTTACACTCTCATTGATTCTAAAAGCGACGTTGTCACGTTTAAAGCTTTAAATTTTGTTTTAAAATTTGTTTTCTATCAATTTATTTGATGAACTCCATATATTAATTCCAATATTATAGTTGCGGTTTTCCATATATACCTTTGTATATATCCAAAATATAAAACTGCATTCCATAATGTTATCTGGTAAACAACAGTTTTTTTTTTACTTATATTAAAATTTTTATGGAAATTTCTGTTCTCAGCAATAGACACCAATAGATGTATCCTAACTATTGAAAAGTCTTCTTTTATAGATATTTCTCCTTTTACAGATATTTAAAACTTTATAATCCTAAAAAATTATAAAAGTTGATAAACAAAATAAGGTGTTGAAATAGAAATTGAATATGGTATTTAAATCAATAAAATTTTGATGCTATATATAGCAAGTATATCCATATAACAAAGACTTCTTCTATAATAGTAACAATAACTAATATTTTACGTAAATATGACGATAATTGCTTAAATCTACTTTTGTATAATTATTAGATTATAGTTTTTAACATATTTACATATTACTATTGTAATGTGTTTTGCATCTATATCATATAATATATGAATTCAGTTTATTTTATATACATATATGAAAATAAAAAGTTAAGTGCATTCAAGGAAGTAATTCTTTAATTAACTAATATCCTTTTTAAGAAGGTCACTCCCATTCATACATCATTAGTTCGCTATTAAATATCAAAAAAAACCTATCTAATAATGCAGCTAATTAAATTTACACCTGCACAATAAATGAAGTCACTATTAATTGCAATAATGGATTCTCAAAGAAAGCAAATGTTTTATTGTAGTCACCTCACCATTTGTGCGTTGTTAATTCCATTTATGCTGGTTTATAAAAATGTGCATTTCTTTAGTCAACAACAAACAATTGTCTTTTGACGCTATAATCATGCCAAAGAAAAAGTATCTTAAATTCTTTTACTTCTTCAATTAACAATTGCTGGGAACCTTTAAATGTCCGTCCATATATTTCTTGGATTACTTCGTATCGTAAATTGCTCGTTTCATACGGTCGATTTTTGTTCGCCGTCGATGGCATCAGCAGCGGCATACACACATTCTTGGTTGTATTTATATCAACGTTTTTTCACATAGTATATAACCAAATACACAATCTTATAAACATACATACATACAGAAATGTTTTTCTATATAATAGCATATAGTATAGTATAGTATAGTCGTCAGCATACATACGGATAGATACTCATATACGTGCACACCACCGAAGAACGAGTAAAAAGGGAAGTAGGCAAGTAAGTAAGCAACCAAAAATGGGGAAGGGAGAAAACTGAATAGCAAGCAATCAGGCAGGCAGGCAGGCAAGCAGGCAGGCAGGCGGCAAGTAGAAGGCAACACAGGCAGGCAGGCAAGCAAGCAAGCAAAGAACAGCAAACAAGTAAAGCAAACTGGCAAACGATTAGTGGCCAAGGGCTAGTATAGTATAGTAAGCAGAAGGCAAAGCAATAGCCATAGCCATAATAAACGAGGACGACGACGACGACAATACAAGTAGTTAAAGAAGAAGAAGCTACTATTGCATACCAAAGCCATTATTGTTTTATACTGTATTCTATACACATTTTGTTTTATAACCATACCAAACCACTCGTGTTACCGACCGCGCCAGCCAAGAGCAGAAGCATATCTTTTGTTTCTTTGAAAGTATATTTTTAAAAAAGTAAAAAAGTGCACATTTTTTCTATGAAATTTGCAAGTGCCGTGTTTTTTGTATTTTTGTTTTCTTTTTTTTTTGACTAAACAAATACAAAAATAATACCGAAAAAAAAGAAATATATTTACACCGTGTTGACTTACAAAAAAATCTATAAAAATTCTGAATTTGCAATGTGTGATATTATTTTTGCGTGATTTTCTTATCACTCTAATTCTAAATAATAAAAAATAGAAATAGAAATTATGCCAAATGTTTTGAGAATATATGACAATCTGTGCAAGAACAAATTAAGGCCGAAGTGAATGAAAAGTGCGTAAAATAGATTGCAATAAATTTTTATTTGAAAAAGCACAAAGCCACCCTAATATGTGGTGTGAAAATACAAGAGAAGCACGAAGAAATTACGATTAAAACTTTAAATAAAAAACACGTTTCAGAGAACGCCACATCCGTACAAGTCTCATCTTTATTTAATGGCGGATTTGTCTGTCTGTCGGTTTTACTCATTTAATATTTGTGTGAAAATTTCAGCATAGCTAGCTTACTGCTTTAAATAAATATACAAATGAAGTAGATATAAAAGTAAATACATATATATATATATAATTAATCTGTTGTGTATAGTGAAATTAAAAATTATTTTATTTAAACTAAATTGAAATCTACTTTGGTAAATCGTGTTAATAATGCGGTAGTGTGCAATAAAGTAAAGCATTGGCCTAACATTAGTTATACCAACTACACCAAGCAAATGCCTTAATTATTAAATTATTTTTAAATAGGATATTAGTTAAGGATAAAATTTTATTACATATATATATATATATATCAATATATTTCTGTCCAAACATTAACAAACAACATCTTAAATATCCAATAAGCAAACACAAAAAAATTATTACTTAAAATTTACTTATAATAAAATCAAAACAAGCAAAAAAATAATGTCAGAACACAGTGCTTGGGGCAATCGCCAGGCGACAGCTGCTGAGGCTGCCCTTTGGTGGCCCGGTGCTCTCGCCGCGGCAGCGACACAACAACAGCAACAACAACAACAATCCATTGATCAGCAAACTCTCCAACATTATCAGCAGCAATTAGCTGCACAGCAGCAACAGCAAGCTGTGCAGCAGCAACAATTACAGCAACAACAACATCAAGTTGTCGTTCAACAGAATCAACAACAGGCACATCAAAATAATGCTAATACCACGTCTGGTGTTGGAACTCAGCAACTTTTTACATATAAAATGGCAGGTGGGAGTTTTCCAAATCCTGCCACAACAATGGCACAAGTAGTTGCTACATCAAATGCGGCAGGAACCACCGGCTATGATTATCGTATTAATATGGCACAAGCGGCAGCAGCTGCAGCCGTACCTGGATCACAATGGTGGTATTCAGCTGCCAATCAGGGTCAAATTGATGCTAATACAGCTGCGCAATTGCAACAGCAGCAGCAGCAACAACAACAGCAGCAGCAGCAACAACAGCAGCAGCAACAACAACAGCAGCAACAGCAACAACAACAGCAGCAGCAACAACAGCAACAGCAGCATCAACAACAGCAACAACAAATACAGCAACAGCAACAACAGAATGCAGTTAACGCAACAGCGGTGAGTACAATTATATTTCTTTTTTTTATTAAACAAATTTCAAATATTGTTGCAATAAATATTTACAATTGCTCTTTTTAATATACACAATTAATAATAATGCGACTTCAATACCAAATCCATGTTAATATCAGAAGAAATTATATATAGCTATAGTACCAACTTTTAACCACATATTAAGCATATCCAAGTGTAATATTCTTCATCATATACTTAATTTTAATAAATTGTTATTACGACCAATATTCAATACGTTTTTTTTATTATTGCTGGATTTAGGGCGTTAATTTAACACATTAACACGAAGTAGGCCGAAATATCTGTAATACAAATAATTTTTTATAAAAATTAAAATACAATTAAATATTTAACACAAATTTATAAGTGTAATTTTCATTTAAAAAATCATTTTTAATTTTTTATATATTAAATTACGACCTAAGTCCAGTAATAATAAAAAACGTATATTTAATTTTATCAATAAATGGATAATTTTTGTATATGCACTTATATAAAATTATACAGAAAAAAGATTTACAGAAAAAAAAACACTAATTCCAAAAAGATTCATTTATTTCTATATATTTATTAAATTAAATGATTCCTAAAAAAACTATACTTGGCCGTACTTTAAAATTATTTATATACACATTAAAATGAAATTTTTTTTTTAATTATTAAATAAATTATATCAAATTAAATTAAATCCTATTAAACTCTATATTGCCGATCATATCTTTTTTTTTTATGAAATATTCCCTCTTCTTGACTGCTAGTCATTTTCAATAATTTATTTTTTATATCAAAGTTTCATCTACAAGAAAACTTTGTGTAACAAAAGTACTCTTCTGGACTAATTGCAACCCTGGCTGGTATGCCATTCACCATTCACAAAACAAAAAAAAAACGTTTTTGATTACACATAATGAAAGCTTATAGTTTCCTAGTTTGTGTCGTCTTAATTTTGTATATTCAATTAATTTATTAAGGTTCATTTTGCAGATTTATCTGTTTATCTATTCACTGGTTAAAATATCAATATTTTTGTTGTAATTAATAGCATAAGTCTCTCTTTAGTCCAAAATATATTTTAAGCAAATACTTTAATTTTTACTTTGAACTATTTGGCAATATTTACTTTACGTGGGTATGTGTGTTTCTTTTATGAAAGTTTATAAGTACGAAAATGTAACTGTTAAGGCACACCCTTATTTATTTAAACATTTGGCATTTGATGCTTATTTAAATGGACTTTTAACACATTTTTATAAAATATTTCTGTTTAGAAAAATTTCAGATGTGTTTGTCTATGATTATTTTATTATTTTATGACATTTTTTTTTATAAATTTGTTTGATAATATAGCCACTACAAGTACATACATAATTATCTATTAATGTGCGCTCAAAATATGCTAAAATACACCCCCAAAATAAATAATAGTTTTTATTTTTTTTTTTTAACTATTAAAAACATCATATTTACTATTTAACATTTTTTTTCTATTTACAAATATATTTTTATGCAAAAAAAAACATTAAAAACCTAAACTTTTTACTAAAACTCTATAGAAAGAACTACAAAAAAGTTCATTGATTTTATTTCTCTAATAAACTGTGTTTCTTTATGGCATAAAATCATTATTATTCTATAACACTAGAAAAAAAATCTTGACCGAATTAAATGTTTGCTATTTATTTGATTTGTTCAGGAATTTTGCCGGCAAATATTTTATTTTATTATTAGCTAAATTGCGTGTTACCGCCGCGTCCATTCAGTTTTTTTTTGTTTTTGCTCTTTCCATCCTCTTTTTCTTATCAATATTCCATGTATTCCATGTGTTCGTTTTCAATGCTGTTTTTTTCTTCACGTTCATATACACCAAACATGTGTTTTTTTAATTTACTAGTTAGTTTGCATTTATCGTTGCTGCTTGTTGTTTCTATTATCAACACTGCCAGTTGTGTTAACATTAATTTTAGTATTGTTTTTGTTTAGTTTTTCATTATCTCTTTTGTCAACGTTGTTCTGAGAGTTGAAACACCACGTGTTGTTTTGTTTAACGAATGTTAAAAAGTAGTGTCATCGATAAAAAATATACACGTATTTGTTTTAGCAAAAGAATTATTTTTTCTCAAATCTCTACCATTTATATTATTAGTAGAAATTTATAAAAAATAAAATTGAATTTCAAATATATTCCATCTCAAACAGCAGATATTTAATCCCCTGTTCTCCGCTTGTTATTGATTCAGATTTTGCCGCTAAAATTCAATACAAATAATTTTTTGATATCTGATATGTTTACTGGCACAAACATTGCATACCCTTATCTCAGATTAAACAATTTTTTTTGCTCGTTTTGTTGTTTTATTTTTATTTTACTAAGCCGTTGACATGTGCTTTAAAAAATTTGAGAAAAAAAAAATTTCATAGGAATGCGTTTGTACAATAAAAAGTTTGACTTCCTCATGTTCTATTTTTTTTTTTATTTCATTTTGTTTGTTATTTGCCTAGATATGCTTTGAATGTGTATCAAATATAGCAAAAGGTATGAAGTGTTAGCAAATTGCACTCAAAATATGTATGTGTGTATGTGCATAAAATATACATAGTTTTCAACAAAAACCGAATTATGTAGATCTACTTAAAATTAGTGAAAACATATTAATCGCAGGGGAGGAAAGGTTGTTACAATTATTTTAATTTAATCAGAGAGTTGAAATTATACAAACAAAAATTAAATTATACTTACTACAATACAATTTTAGATATAAATTAAATTCATCATCATTCGTAACTATACAGTCCATGTAGAGGGCTTAGGTCCTTTTTAATAATAGTCTTCCATTCATCTCTGTTTTTTGCTTTTGTTTACCAATTTCTTATGTTCATTTCTTCTAAGTCCTGCTGCACACTGTCTTTCCATCGTATGAATTAAATTAGGTTAGGTTATACCGGCGATTCCTAGGGTATCTACTTAGGGCTATAGGCCCATTGTATTACCATATATAGAGGAAACTCAAAATTTAAAACCAACCACCTAGACCCTTTGCCGAAGCTTAGAATGCTGTTTAGTGGGAAGTCTTGTAATTGATCAAGTGGGTAGCCCTCAAGAAAATGGGCTACCCTAAAGTGTTTAGTCGCCGTCGTACTTAAGCTTGGCAAAGACAAAGTAGATGACAGTCACTTTCATCGTCTTCCCTACATCTGCGACAGGTATGATTGAAAGGGAGATTCAATATTCTAGCATGGATTCCTAGTCGGCAATGACCTGTAAGTAAACCTTCTATAAGGCTGATAACTTTACGGGGCATATCAATGATATCATTAGGTATATCGTTAAGTCTTTCCATGTTTTATTTAAAATTTCAGTTAATTAAATTATATCTTTACAATATAATTTTCTTAATAAAATTATTATTAAATTTATAATGATTGAAAACCATTCTGTACTCATTATTATTCTTTATTGGTTGCAAATATTACAGGTTCAATTATAATGTTCAATGCTTTTTTATCGTATTTTGTTACAGAATGCAGGGATCTCCTTGTTGTATTGTCCTCTTTAGGAGTGCTGTATGGCACTTAGTTGTCAAACTTGATGAGTGGTTCCAGGACGTAGGTTCCTCTGGTCGTTCTAGATATTAGGTAGACTGAAATATTCATTTTTATAAAACCTCAGCGCAATGACATGAAAGGTTTTCAAATGTACAATTATGCATATACTCTTCTTCTTATTCAAATCTTCTCATAATTGTTATATGTGATTGCAAATATATGTTTATTTCAACTTTCTTTTAAGATATTGTGAGATTTGGTTGTTTCCTTGACAAAAAAAAAATGAAGTAAAAAAATGGAAAGTCAATAAAAACGTTTCTTAGTTTTTGTTCATTTAATATGATCAAACCTAAACTATTTATTTATGTTTCACAAAAGCAGTATTAAATATATATTAATGAAATTCTTATAATTAACTATAAATATTATTGACTAGTAATAATAAAATATTTTAAGTGATTCTTTTACCAAATACTGTTAAGCTTTTCTGATCCAATAAATAAAATATTTTCGCGAAACTTGTTATGCTTACCCCGTACTTTCTTATTAGAAGTCAATGACTTTTTTATCATAACATTCATTTTTAAATTTCTAACATGCAAAAAAAAAATTAATACTTAATTCAAACACGTTTTGTCATTAAAAAATAAATAAAAATATTTATTGTTGTTTTTGCAGTAGAATATAAGAAGAAAAAAAGAAGAAATTTATGTTATATTTTACAAAAATTTATATATATCATTAACTGACACAGTAAACAATTAAGTGATGCTTTTTACAGCTTAAAAAAAATTAAAAATATTCAATTATAATTTATCTATATCAATTAATTTCATTCTCAGTCTAATTTAACTGAAAAAAGTTGCAACCGTAAACTAAACTGCTATTTTGAACATTATCTGGTCATATCTATTATATTTAAATTATAATATTAACATTGGTATATGCTATTAGGTAAAGATTAAGCGACAATTGATTATTGTTTATTTGATTAAATGATTAATATAATTATTAGCTTATTGTTGTTTATTGTATATAATTACAAAAGTTGTTGAATGTTTTTCATTAGTATTTGCTTGCCTCATAGCTTTGCTTTTATTTTAATTATTAAATTATAGGGTTGAATGATAAAGATTATAGTTTAAAAAAAAAACTAATTATACATGTAATGTTTAATTATTTATTATTTCGAGTGGGTAATGCAAGAAAATAATGTAATGTTATTTCTCTGCTTATAATTTTATTTTCATAATCTGTTTGGAAACATTGCAAAATATTTTTAAATATAATTTTTTGAATTTATTTATCGACCTGTTTTTTAAAATGGTTTTTATATATTTTTTAATTTGGCTGTATTTTAATATTTTTTATTATATTAGAATATTACCAATTTTTTGAGATCGTGATCCTGATGATGACTCTCAAGGAGAGTCGAAATA